CAGGGCATGAATAATTGACTGTAAAGTCCCTTGAGATCCCTGGATAAAGTGCTGTAGAAGGAAGTCAAGTTATGCTCAGGCCAAGGTTTATTGGGGCAAAGAGAAAAGGGGGCTGAAATGACACTGAGGCTTGATTGGGCTTTCCTGTCCTTGCCTAAACTGCATAGATACCACTAGCTCTGGACCTAGTTCTTGGAGCCTTTTCCTGTCCCAGCCTGGACCAAGCTTGGTAGAAAACCTGAGTAGGTGGTGGGTCTCCATTTGGTTGCTCTGGTGAGGAATCCTGGAGGGAATGGCTTTGGATCACTACCAGGTGAAATCTTTCACCTGCAGCCAGATGAGTGGATGTTTAGGGTCAATGAGGAATATTGCACAAATTGTCGTTCAAGATCTGGCAGGTCTGATCAGTGATTGGGGAGCGGGGGGTGGGGGAGGGATGGGGGAGACCACCCCAGGGACTTCCTCATCTACCACCAGAGATAAGCGATTCCTTTTCTGGGCGGAAGATTGCCACAGGGGAGCAAGAGCCTGATGCTGCTCATGGGTGGGCATCTGAGCTTTCCCTGTGAGGGCAGGGCTCTGGGTGATGCTGAGGATTTCGCTAGAGGACATCTCCTGGGTACAAGGGAGCAAGCATTGCCTGTGACATTGTCCTGGTTCCACTGGTCCTTAAATGGGCAGACAGATTGGGGCCTAGCCTTCCTCTACGCAGGTGTCCATCTCTGCACGTGCATCTTGTGGGTCTGCAGGGCTGTGACTTCCTCTGACCCTCTCTCTTTCTCCCCTGCAGAATTCCATGAACTTGCCTCCTGACAAGATGAAACTGCTCAGCCAGTACGACAATGAGAAGAAGTGGGAGCTGGTCTGTGACCAGGTGAGTCTGTGTTGTCCCCCACAGGATTGGCTCATTAGGACTTGGGCCCTTCAGGTCCCTCCCCCCTCCAAATGGGCCCTTGCTGTAAAAGTTTAATGCCAGTCATTACCTATGCTAGCACACAGATACGGACACAGGCACAGGCGAACCAGGAGGCCGCCCGGGTGTCCTGGACAGAAAGGAGGCTCGAAAATGGTAATTTTTTCCCCCTTTGTCCAATTATTATTATCATTATCTTTGGCGAAGGGGGGACCAATACTAAAATTTTGCCCTGGGCTGCCAGGAGTCTAGGTATGGTACTGCTAGCACAATAACACCTGCTGCAGGAAATGCACACCCATTCACTTCCCCCCAGCTACTTCCTGCATTGTTCAGGTGCCCAGTTACTGGCTTTCAGTCTGCTGTTTGTTAGCATAACTCCTTACTCAAACTCTAGCCTTTGGGTGTTTTTAGGTGTCCGAAGGGGGAACTAAAGTAGTGACTTCTTTTCCCTCTTCTGATGGCCCTAGGCCTTGCTTACCCACCCAGCCCTGTGCAGTTGTCAGAGGTGCCCTACAGCAGCTATCAGTTATGAAACTCCTCAGACGTGCAGGCTAATCCCAGTGCTTTCTTGATGAGTCATTTATCTCCCCTTCTGTCATCTCAGCAGTGAGACAGTCAGTTCCTCACCAGCCAAAATATTCACTTCATAACTAAGATGGTGTTTTTGGTCTGAGGCCTTTTCTGGGGGACTGACCCAGGCTTTTCTTGGGTGCCTGCAAATCAAACCTGATTCTCTCTGGACGCTGGTTGCTGACACAGCTTTGGGAACAGGGCTGGATTCTAGGCCTGTGCGAAGCAGCTAGTATTCGCTTCGGATTCAGCTGAGTTGGGGGACAGTGATTTGATTTGGTGATTTGAATCAGTGTCCCAATTCGATTTGGCCGAATCTGATTTGGAGATTCGGCTGCTGCTGATTTGGCCGAATCTCCAAATCACACAGGCTCCATCCCCTGCCCGCTCTCAATGGCTGCCCTGCCTGCCCCAGCTTCTGACTCTCTTTTTTTAAAAAGCCCCAGCTCACCAGCTGCTGCCTGGTGGGG